CAGAAGATGATTCAGTACAAATCTATAGCCTTCTGCTGTGTTTGCTTAGTGCATTGATTTACAAACCACCGTTTACACAGCGCTGGTGCAGCAAACTGTCAGCTGACAGATATGTTTTTCATTTAGCTCAGACCATTAGACGAGAGGTGGTTAACTCGTGAAGCCAGTCCCACATTTATAACCTCAAAATTAAAGGTTGTATCCGGCAGCGTGTTTAAGTTGTACCCGTCATCCTGATGATTATATGATATTGAATATAGTTTTATCAAAAGAACATCACAAGTTCTCTAACAGCTTAAACAATTTGTTTTTCCTGACAGCATTTATTTTTCAGCTGCATTTGGGATTAAATCATTTGAATCAGTTTAAATGCTGCTTTTCTTTGAGGCTTATGTTTTCCTTCCTCTGTATTTAGATCTTCCCATGGAGTACAATCCCTCAGATCATCCCCGCGCCAGCACCATTTTCCTCAGCAAGTCACAAACTGATGGTGAGTTGTGCTCTCTTCTTTTGTCACATTTTAATAATCTCAGATCTCTCTGAAATTTCTTCACTGACTTTTAAATGAGGGAAAAGAGTATTTGGAGTGTCATGATTGTTATTAATCTACAATGAAGAAGAGCTAAATTTAATAAATGTGTTTTCGTAATCAGTGACGCACCATTAGGTGTACACCTGATCTACTTGGATGAAGCCAGGATAGCATAATGCAGGGTTACATTTGTGGGTAAAGGATAATGTCTTCCGGTTTGTTTGAAAATGAGGAAGCAGCTTGTGGACATGCTTGGAGTTTCTGTGCAAAGTCAGTGAGCTGTGCACTGGTAGGTGCAAAGCTACTGCAGGTGGATCATGGACAACCAAGCAAAGAGGTGACGCAAAGAAGACTGTAGCATATGCCCACTTTTTGAGATAGCAAGCTGTTTTTATTGAAGGTGGAACTTCAGATATCAGCACAAGTACCACTGACCAGCAAGCTTTTATCCAACATAAAAGCTCTAGATGGAGCCCTGTCCCGTCTGCTTTCATGTCAGATTTTTGAAGACGCACTGGGGTGTTTTGATCTTCCTTAGCAGGCACAAAGATTGATCTTGTAGCAGTCGGGTGCCTCTAGAATGACAGGAATGTCTTATTATCAACTGAAATGTGAAGCTTTTTAGATTATTTCCCAGTTTAGACATAATCTCTTTGCTTTGATGATAAGCTTTTGATTCAGCTGAGCAGTCTGTCGCCTGAAGGCTGTTATATAGATCCGGTGTTAGGTGCTGATAGTGTTGTATTAGCATCGTCAGGCTCTTATGTGAAAGTCTGCTGGCCTTTGTTCTCATACTGTTATTAAATATCAATACAGAGCATTGTGGTCCTAACATATGTGACAGCTGCTGTGTTCATCACTCCCAGCAGCTATAAATGAATTACTGACACACTTAATAATAATGCCTGTTGTGAGTATCTGTGTCATAAACATGGAGACAACTTGGACATTTGTTTTTCAGTTGCTGTGCCCAACAAAAGAGGTAAGCATGTATACGTCTGTGCTTGGTAGGCAGGTAACACTATGCTTACTGTGTGTTCGGGCTGGACCCTTTAAGGGAACAGTCCCTCTGTGTGGTCTCAAACTGCATCGTATCCTCGTACTCTGTTAGCAGGTGACTTGTCTCTGCTGCTTAGCTGCTGATCTCGTCTGTGTGCGTGCGTGCGTTTCTTCCATTGTACATGTCCGTCCATGAGATGTAGGAACAGGACTGCACAGCCTTGGCCAAAGAAATTGCAGTTTAGTTACTAAAATGACACACCTCTAATTACTGGATATTTCAATTTTCATATGTAAATGGTTGATAAAGTTAGAAATCAGCCTCGAGTATAAAGCTGTGATTTGTGTCACATGTTTCATGACTATTCAGAAATCACTGTGGTTAGGTTTGTGGTTTTTTTGTTACTGTTTTTTTTGACTAAGCTGTGCAGCTGTTTGATGGTGTCAAAGACTGCTGTTCTTTGCTAAATACACACACACACACACTCACATTTGCTCAGTGGAAAAAGCTCAGCGTGCTTTGCAGTGTGAGTGTGTGCACCTTTGTGCCAGAGAGGTAAGACACAGACAGTATGGGATGAGACGTACAAGGTGTCTCTGTGTGCTCTGCGCTCTCCATCTGCTCCAGTTTGCTTTGCTAGCAGCCCTTTTCCCTTTGCGTGCTCTGTTACAACAGTGAGCACATATACTGATGCACACAGACATGCACACAGACATGCACGCAGCGCTGCTGCACTGTTGCGTGTGCCGTAACTGCGATAAAGCTCTGCTTTATAGAACCAACAAATCATCACATCCGCTAAACCGAAGTAAGGTAGCAAAATACCAGATTTGTATGAACAGAAAGAAAAAGAAAAGAGATGAGCTCAGATGATTGGCTGCACTTGAATAAACCAGTCACTATGCCTGATTTAATTTGGACTCATGAATGTCCAATCACAGGAAGTTAATTCTGTTCATGTGGACGTAGTGTGGGAGAAACCTTTCATCACTCATCCAAGTGAATTCTTCAGTGTCTGAAGATTTCCTTACCTGGATGACTGAGCATGAATTAAGACATGTATGTCTAAATGATGAACGGATTAATTGATAAGGTCACACTCATTCCCACATATTAACACACATTTGCCAGTGCAATCGCAGCGGAGAAAATACTCACAGGCTTTGAAATTTCTCAGTTTTTTAATGTAAAAACTGTTTTTTGCTGAAGCTGCTTTGCTTTGTTGTATGTGGTTTATAATAATTATACACAGGGGGAAAGTCTATATTAATAGGGCAGCTCTGAAGCCTGGTTATATGCTGCTCCCTGTCTGTGAGGGTTGTGTACTACACTCACACAAAGATTCTTGAAGCGCTCTCTTGTCTTTTTTTTCAGTTCGAGAAAAACGGAAGAGCCTTTACATCAACCACGTAAGTAACTGAATCATTAGCCACTGTGTGTAATACGTTTGCTGTTATGATTGCTGTGCAGTTAGTAATTTTAATGTCTTGTATTTTTTGCAAGTTAACACACATTTCGGAGAACAAGGTAAAGTCCTCCGAATGACCCTCAAAGTAACCCAAACCCGTTTCCATTGTTCCTCCCGTTTTTTGTTTTTTTTATCCCACACTCCAGACTCCAGTTATAGTCTTAGTGTTTAAAAAGCTTTAGATGTAGTACAAATGTAGAAGAAGCGTGGTGTTATGGTGCAGGTCATCTTTGTCCACACTCCCTGAGACCTGAAAGACAGGACTAGCTAAATGTGCAAATGTGCTTTTTTGTTTGAACAAAATTTGCATTAATCAGTTCCTGCAGGGCCAAATGAGAAAACAGCGTCTTGTTTAAGTCATAAACCTGTTTAGTGTGCACCAGTTAAAAATAATTTTGAATGAAATGAATGGACGATGAATAGAAAGGTCATTACTCAAGGTGATGAACTTGCTATTCATCAAGTTTTTGATGTTTCTCTAAAGATGCACTCCACCATAAATACCATTCCTGCATGCAACAAAGTGAGACGCTGACAGACCCACAGATTAGCTTGTGGGCTCACAGGTGCCCTACTTTCCATCCTCATACCAGGCCTTTGGCGCGTCCAAGTATGACAGAAATAGAGATTGACGTGTGTGTCTCTGTTTTTTGGTACGGACGTGTTTGAACTCCAGCATTATCCAGGCCCAGTGAGACGGAAATACAGCTCCTGTTCTACCATATTCCTCGATGACAGCACTGTCAGTCAACCCAACCTGAAATACACCATCAAATGGTAACCCCCATCTGAGCGATTCACAGCTTTATCTAATATTGAAAGATTTTTCCCTTATTGTCCTCTTACACTCATTTTTATTTACCTTTTTGTGCTTGCAGCGTAGCCCTTGCAATATATTATCATATAAAGAACAGGTAAGATTAACCTTTTATTTCTTTTGCATCAAAATTCCACAAAATACAAAAGCCCTGCAACATCCTGCTTCATTCTGACCCAGAAAGATTATATTAAATTCTTTACTCTTTAGATACTTTGATATCCAGCTAAGCTTGACATCCTTTTGCAAAGGGATGTGTTCTTACTAAAGGCTGTGGAGACACTAAATAACGCTTGCATGGAGACATTTTTAAATAAACCACAAAGCAGAGAAGAACAGGCTGTTTTATGTAGCAGCTTAAGTGACTCACATTTCTGCTCGCAAAGATGCAGCCTGGAACATATTTTTGTGTTGTTAATAGAATTTGTTGGATTGACATGACTTGACAGATCTCATATTTTTTTAAAAACACGGAAGCTTTAGGATAAAACGTGTTTCTATAAACTGAAAGTGGTAAGAATCCCATATAGGGCAGCTGGTTGAAGTGCAGATTCATTCATATAAATGACTTATCAATGAAATCATGCATCTGTTTTTGATTTCTTTTCCTCTTTTTAATTCCAGAGACATCGACGGAAGAATGTTGTTAGATATTTTCGATGAGAAGCTTCACCCACTCTCAGTAAGGCCGCAGCCGAAGATGAATTTCCAGTACACACAAACTGTCAGGATTCATCAGGAAGACTAATTGCATGAGCTGATAAACGGCGCATAAGCACACATGGATCACACAGTGGCGAGATGTGTAATCTCAGGAGCCATCTGGATCATTCAGACATGTTTTAAAATAAATATTTGCTCAACAATTTCAGTCTCAGATTTTACATAACCCCTTTGTTTTACGCCCCATGTCCAACACCACTAAACCTCTGCATTCAGAAATAAGCTGATGTATCGAGCAGCAGTTTGTGATTCCACTTTGGGAAACGATCTGATTTCATTTCATTCTTATCTTTTCTGGTGTTTGTCGCAGAAGTCCGAGGTTCCTGCTGATTATGACAAACACGACCCTGAGCAGAAGCAGATCTACCGCTTCGTCAGGACGCTTTTCAGTGCCGCGCAGCTCACTGCCGAGTGTGCCATCGTCACTTTGGTGAGTAAACAGTTCAGCCGTGAAACGCAGTCCCTGCACACTTTTAGCCCTTTTCTATTCGCACTTACTCAGATCGGCTGGACGCACGACTCGCTTCGACTCGTTTTCCATTACAAGCACCTAATGTGGGTTGGGTCATTACAGCAACGCGACAGAACGTGCTGTGACATCATTTGGATGTGACACAAACGCCACAATAAAGGAGGACGTCGGGGCGATGTTACACCTGCTGCTCGGTCAGACTCGGGGACCGTGGTGTTGTTTTTGTGCAGTCATTTCCCTTGTTGCCAGGTTTCAAGAATGGCGGTTTTGATTTTGTAAAGGAGACTGAGTAGCCAGTTGGTGGCATGCATGTCACATTTTTGGATCGCTTGGAACTGTGGCCGAGTAGGTAATAAAAGAGCACCTGGTATCAGGTACTACGGGAAAACGCTAAAAATTGCATTGAGCCGAGCCAACCTGAGCAGGTACTAATGGAAAAGGGCTTTTTGACTTCATTTACATGTTTGCTTGGAGGGACGATTACATTAAGAGCTTTTCCAATCCAGCTGGCCCTGAGTGGAAGTGGATTATAAAAGCCTTCCCACCACTGAGTACAGCCACACTCTGTGAATGTGGTTATTTCTGCATTGATGCAGTTATAAACAAAATGAAATGCAAACTTTTTGTTTTCTTTTAAAAAAACAACAACAGCAAGGAAGGAAAAAAATATACTTTCAAGTGATTAGAAGTTCCTGTTTGTATTGGAGGAAGACAAGGGTGTCCAGAGCTCGCGGTTACAACCTAATTAAGAGACCCTTCAGCACCTCGAAGCATGACTCCACACAGTTAACATCATGAAGGAGCGCGAGAGCGTGGGAGACAGATAGGAATTAGGACTGTGAGTCTAATTCAGTGCTGACACTAGGAGGGAGTATTGCTTCTGCTCGTCTTGTTTTCTGCTGTCCTTAGATTGTTGGCTCTCTTTATTTTTTTACTCTTCTTCTTTGTGTGATATGAAACAGCCTGTTTGTCCTTCTGGAGAATGTTGCACAAACGAAGCCACGAGACAGAGCTCAGTAAGTTCAGTAACAGATTTGTGGCGGTTTAATCCGTTTAGTCTCCACTCAGAATTACTTCAGTATGAGGTCTGCCTGCGCCTGTAGCAAGTGTATAATTAGAATATAATTGGTGCTTTGGCATACAGTGGGCTCTCTCCCCGTGACTTATGACATCCTGTGTGCTCACCTGTGCTTTTCGTTTCTTCTCTGTCCTCACATATCATATCACATCATCTCTTTTTCTCTCTCTGTACTAAAGCCTTAAGCAGTTCAATAGTTTATCCTTATGTTTGATTTGATGGCACAGTTAGTGCCATCTCCCTTCTCCGCTTATCTGCCCAGAAACATTTCTTTCTACACTTTGTCACTCTGGCTAACACGTGGGTCTCTAGAGGCCAGCAAAGTGCATTGTTAATGTGGCTAGCCCAGGGGCCTGGTATTAGGTTTCTCTGCTTCCTGACAGATGGACAAATGTGTTAACTGTGTGGGTGTTTCTGCTTTTCCAGAGAGTAACTGGAAAGCAGTCACTGTGACGTGCTGCGTCTGCGTCTTTGTCCATGTTCAGGTGGACGAGAGCGATAGTTGCATACAGAGCCTGGCACACGGCGTGCCTCCTGCAGCTCTCCAGTGTAAACTCTGCCATGCTGTCAGTAATTGAATGGGGCTGTTGGCTGGTGGTTATTGGTGTAGCTTAGCTGACACAGCTAAATTTAGACAGGGGAGTTGAGATGAAAGCTGGGCGTCTTGCTTTCCCCAAGTTATTACATCACAGGTGAGGAGAGAGAGGATGGAAAAGAAAGAGACCCAGAGAGTGAGCATGTCATCCTCTGGGAAGACGAATCAGGTTTCCTGTTGAGGGACAGAAAAACCAGACAAACTTATTGTAGTAGATGAAGTTACTGTGTTTTATTATCAGACAAGCCTCCTGAAATTGAAGCAGCTATGCCAGGATGTAGTCTTCTTTCGTTTCTCGATGTTTGTCACCTGCTACCAGTTTTGGGCCACAGCAGAAACAGGCTGGTATTGTCTTCAGGAAGGACGCCCCACTGAGCACGACTTGTCTAATTAAACACCTGAGCTGTGACAAACTGGGCTGCAAAGTGGCATAAAAGAACTTATTAATTTCCATTTCACAACCTGCCATCCTTGTTAGTCTGAAAACTGAAATATTTATTACGATGTACCTCAGGGTATACATCCTGAAAATGGTATGGCTATTAAAATGCAAAGAAAGTAAGTAAGAAGTGACAAATCTAAGCTTGTGTACTGTTAAATCTTTCACTTTACATCATTTTTAAAAGGGAGCTGAATGTGGGCTTTGTGCACTAACTGTTCGAGCTTTCACAGTTCAGTCCATGAATCTAACAGAAGACCTTCTCTCTTGTACTGTAACAAAATGATGATGAGTGGATCAGAAGATTTAACATCTGCACAAATGCTTTGGCTTGTGAGGATCAGGTGTCTGTGTGTTCTGTGCGCTTTCTGCCGTGTAGACTGTGGGAATTATTTCGAAGGAGAGAGAAGGAGACGGTGCAGGGGTTCGATTGGCATGAATATTTCACGAGGGAGCTCCGGGGAAGCTGGATTTCATCAGCCTCTGACATCATGGAGGTGGAGTAGGCAGGAGACTGCAAAACTGTAAAGCAGCAAACTAACCCTTCAGATAAACAGAGGCAGGGAGAACAGAGGGTAATTAAACACAGGAAACCCCGAGGAAACAAAGGCTCGATATGATTATTAACGTGGTGTTTACTTGCTTATGTTTTGTACCTTATGTTAGCGTTACACCGTGGGTGATGGAAAACACAGAGCGATAGCAGTTTAGCAATCTGACTCTTTTGACCCTGCGTGTAGGATGTTTTAGTCGTGTGAAACTGACTTGATGCTGTTAATGCTAGTCGATGCCAGCTGTTAAACAAAAGGCAAAATTGAGAGTTTTTCAGTTTTGTTTTTGTGCTAAAATAACTGTGTTTTATTTCAAGATGCTTACTTGTGACAAATCCCTTTGTCTAAGGTGTATTTGGAGAGGCTCCTGACCTACGCAGAGATCGACATTTGCCCGGCCAATTGGAAGCGGATCGTGTTGGGAGCCATCCTCCTGGCTTCCAAAGTCTGGGACGACCAGGCGGTTTGGAACGTCGACTACTGCCAAATTCTCAAGGATATCACTGTGGAGGACATGTGAGTCAGTTTATTGACATCAGCAGCGTAGAGCTATATCCCTATAGACTCAGGTCAGTTGCAGAAGACGTCTGCTGTTATTTCTGCACTAAAACAGCTGAGTTGGCGATAGAAGCTAAAGCCTGGCATTTTATTTTCATTACATGGTTGTTTAAGAACATAGAAACAGTTTATTGTTTAACTATTTGCATGGAATAAATCAGCTAAAACACTTGATTTGTTACTAAGAGAAATAAAACATTATTAACTGATGGCAGCAGCTGAAATCAAAGCTATTTAGTCCTTTTTGTTTTCCCCGGATGCTGTTCTTCTCTGTGATCTTATGACTGGGAAATGTCTGGACTATTTCCATGACAACAGCTTCTCTCAAAGAGAAACCAGTGTCCTTGTGTGGGAGGTGCAGAATCACATGACTGACTATACCATATGATGATTTCAATAACATTAGCATTTCAGAACATACTGTAGCATATTCCTCCGAATGTTCAGTGTGAAACATTTCCAGCAGGAGTCTGTACGTCAGGCGCATGTTTAGGTTTAGGTCACATCTTTGGAGCACAATGGCCCTGAAACGAGGACTACCAGTTATTTTTATCATAATGCTGCAGATTGTTTTACTGATTAATCAATGCAGCAATCAGCAGAAAAAATCATCCAGAATTTGTCAAGAATTTACTAAAGCAGCAGCTAAAAATTTATTATCGCAGCACTTTTCCCCCCCCATCTTTCTTCCTCAGAGCCACAATTCTCAAAGGTTGGTGCCATCAGCTGTTTGCTGGCTCCTAAAATGCCACACAGCCATGAAAACCCCTGGTAGAGTGTCAGCCATGTAAATAAATGCTTCCTCTTTGACTCATCGTTGCTGAGTGGGGTGATGGCAGATACAGCAGCACTTGTCTTTCTGTCCTGAGAATAGTCGGGCTTTGTGTGGTCAGCCTGTTTTCAAGAGCTGCTAAGAGTCTTTGACGGGAGAGTCTCTGACCATTTCGTCTAATGCCTTTGATCTGAGCAGGGATAGCTCAGTAGGTAGAGTGGTCGCCCCATGATTGGAAGGTCAGGGGTTGGAATCCACTTAACGGCTACCCTGAGGTACCCCTGAGCAAGATACCGTCCCCACACACTGCTCCCCAGGCGCTAGATTGGTGGCTGCCCACTGCTTCACTGAGTGAATGGGTTAAATGCAGAGAAGAATTTCTTGTGACGATGAAGTATACATTATTATTATTATTATTATTTTATTTTGTTCTTGAGCTTAGAGTGTCTGAGGGACTTCAGATTACATTAGTTCCTCTTGTCTCTTTCCCCATAAAATGGTAATACAGGGAGTGCAGAATTATTAGGCAAATGAGTATTTTGTCCACATCATCCTCTTCATGCATGTTGTCTTACTCCAAGCTGTATAGGCT